CCTGAAATTTTGCACACACATCCCAAATACACAACGGACCTACTGCAATTCCCGGAATTCCATTTCGACCCCTATATCAAAATCTCACATATCAACCGAAAAATGCCAAAATTTCAATTTCGCCAATTCAAGCCTAAATCTACCACGAACCTCCAAATTACATTCCGATCACGCTCCTAAGTCCCAAATCACCTAGCGGAGCTAACCAAATCATAAAAAATCTAAATCCAAGATCAAATACTAAAAAGTCAAGTCTAAGTCAAACCTTTCAAATTTAAAGATTCAAGCTGAGATCATCCTTCCATATCTATTCCAATTAACCTGAAAACCAAAACTGATGATTTACATAAGTCACAATACATAATACAGGGCTAGTCATGCCCGAGAACTGGCGAGCGAAGTGCAAAAGCTCAAAACGACCGGTCAGGTCGTTACACGAATTCTCTTCCATTGCTTGTTCTTATTAATTAATAGACCAACTAAAATTAAGATTGAATACCATGAATACTAAAAATATCAAATTTGAATATGGGCCCATTCACATATCATGTATACAGTATAAGATGCATCTATGAGATGGTTACATGTGCAATTATTATTAACTCGCAACCTGGTACTTGCGAGGTAACTTGCTTAATAATTTTAATTTAGAGCATAGTTTTCAGATTTTCTGTTCAAGACAATTCATCTTGATAAGTTGGTTTACATCACAGTTGATTTAGCAAAATAGTTTATTGAGTACCGCCACTTAATAGCTAAATTGTTGTTTATGAGAACAAAGTTATCTATATCAGTTTGATACAGGTTATATACGAAAATATATTATATTTTTCCCTCACAAGTGGTTCAGGTTCAGGAATCAAATAATTTTATTTTATTATTATTGATGTGCGGTGTATATTTTGATTAACACCATAACGTATAAAGGTGGGTTTTTAAAGTTGAGGAAGCAAGTTAGTTTTTCTAACATGAGGCGGAGAAAGTATCAACAGTTGAGAAAAAGTTATGTGGAATGAATTATCATTTGTACATCTAGATCCTCGAATAAGATAATATGAACTTGAAGTTCATAAAAAGATAATTGTCACGACCCAAACCGATGGGGCGCTACGGGTGCCCGAGTTCTTCCTATCAAACACCCCTAAGCATGCATCTAAGATATAAACTTGAATAACCTCTGCTGAATTACAAGAATAATATATATGATGGAAACCTTCCCAAAAAGGCATACGTACATATATGTGCAACATACGTAGGGCGAGCCGACAAGGCTACTATAGACAACTATTTACCTCAAAACTGGAAGTCAGCAAGGCCACATACTATCTAACTAGACATACTGTCTACAGACCTCTAATAGAAATATAACTGTACAAAAACGGGACTGAGCCACGTCATACCCATATATATACAAATATATCGTACCAAAATTAAAAGCAGCTTCGGATCAAGTGGAGCACGCCAACTCTCACTGATCAAGAATCCTAAGAAGGGGGACCGTCAGCTTGCCTACCTGCACCTCCGGGCATGAAATGCAGGCCTCATAAAATAGGGCGTCAGTACGAAAAATGTACTGAGTATGTAAGTCATGAAAATCTGTACGTAAAAGGCAGAGATGAAACATGGAATAAAGAAATTCATCTTAAATCTGAATAACTTTGTAAATTCTGAAACATTTATAATGTTATGCACGTGCGTATAAATGTCGTGCCATGCCTAGGTATGGGTGTACATAGTATCATCAAGCCTTTGAGGGCGTCCTATCATATCATCTCGGCCATTGTGGGCAACATCATCAACATATACCAACTGATCAGGTGGTGATGCGTATATAACGTCGTAACCTTTTTCCTGTATCCCCCCCCACACACACACACACACACACACATATATANAAATTTTCTCTGAACGCCATAAAATCAATATGCCTTTCGGATAAACATTATCAAAGACGTATTTTTTTGGGACCCATAAACAGAAGATAATAATAATTCACATGGGGAATCAAGAATATAGACACCCCTAGTATTTCTATGAATAGAGTAATTTATGGAAACCATGCGTCTGCTCGTTTCTTCTATATAATTTGGATCATGCCAAAAAGAAAGAAGGGATGGCCTTAACATACCTGAAGTAGGTAAAACTCCGTATAATATTCTTGGAGAAGATTGCACTGTACTCCTTTAGAACCGCAAAATATTACATTGCTAAGGTGCTAATAATTTCTCGCTGGAATTGATTTGGTCTCAAGAATTTTGGTTGGAAGCTCGTTAGATTTAAGTTTTAGCGTCTGTTTCTGAAGGATTTTGTATTAGGAAGAAAGGTTGTATAAAATGAAACCAAGCTTTGTATAAAGGAAACCAAACGTCTGTTTCTGAAGGATTTTGTATTAGGAGGAAAGGTTGTATAAAATGAAATCAAATGAAAACCAAGCTTTGTATAAAGGAAACCAAACTTTGTATAAAGGAAACCAACTTGTATAAGTCTTATACGTAAGTGTCATTATGTACCTAACTTTAGGTGGCCACCTAAGACAATATGACTAAGAGTCATATGTCTTAGTAGTGGCTTGTTGCCACGTGGGGGTAGGGTGAGAATTATTAATCTTTATCCATTTATTAGGTAATTAGGTAATGTCTTGTTACCCGATAATTAACTAATTACCCGTATAATTAAGAATTATCTTAAATTATCTAAAATTCTACTTATTTTTAATATACTTTATATATTATATACCGTGGTCATATGGTACCTTGTATGGTACTAGTCCATAAATATTGGGTATTATCGCTCAACCCGTATATTATCACAAATCGGTCACCTTCAACGAAACTCGTTTTCTTTAATTCGTGTACCCTTTATCCTTCATGACACTTACTTATCGCTTGTTATAAATAGCATAAATACGTTAATTTCAAAATAATTTCATCCCCGAGTCTACGTCGATTAACTAAAGACAAAACTTTAACGTACGAAAACGCAAGATGTAACAATAATTCATCTGCAATATATTGTAAAGCATGTCAGACATATTTGCTGATTAACAAAGTAACTATATTCTCACTGCAAATGCTCATATTAAAATAAGTACTAGAAGGACAAAGTCTATGGTATGATTAAAGCATATAGGCAAGTGATCTAGAAGATCACATGACATAACACTTCATAAAATCTCAGGAGAGGTTTAGGTACCTGAAATGAATGAAGGGATTTTTATTTTATGTTATGTTTTTATGAAAAAATATTAGAGTATAAAATATTCGTCAACGACATCTATGATAACGCTAAGTATAGATGAGGATCTTAAGTCTGTCGAATACAGACACAAAAAATATTAGCCAAATGGAAGAGAAACAATTCAAGTAGAATTGGTTTCATGTGAAAGACATGTAATTTTGGACATATGGTTCAAACACTCGAAAGTATAAAGTCAATGGTGTGTGCAATCACTTTCATGTATTTTATATGTCTGGCATGACATGAAAACTTGATATAAATCTAAAGTCTATTTATATGGCTTATTTCACTATACTTATATGAAAATCCCCAAATGATTTAAATTGCTTAAAGCATATACAATTTTTGATCTTGAAGTATCATATCCTCAGTGTAATTTGTGCACAATGTATCTTGCTATAACTATACGCATGATAATATGATAGCAAGAGTTTTTGCCCTTATGTGATGATATTGAAATGACGATTCCAACAAGATCATATGAAGATTATTCATCTCTATCGGGAATGGTCTCACGGTGCAACATATTCATTCAAGTTAATATGGTTGATTTGTTCACAAAATCTCTATCGACGTCAACCTTCAAGAAACTAGTGTACAAGATTGGGATGCGAAGGCTCAAGAATGTGAACTGATGCTTATCAGGGGGAGTTAATACGTGTTGTACTCTTTTTTCTTTTGTCCCATTGGGTTTTCCTTGCAAGGTTTTTAACGAGACAACCAAAAGGCGTATTGTTAGATATTTGTACTTTTTTTCCTTCACTAGAATTTTTTCCCACTGGGTTTTATTTTAGTTAAGGTTTTAACGAGACACATTATCTGTTGAATAGACATTCAAGGGGGGGTGTTATAAATAGAATTTTATTTAAGGTGAATGTCTATATTTTAGAGAGATTTTAGAATTTTTTTTACTTGGTGGTCAAGTCACTTTTCTCCTATAAATAGAGGGGTTCTATTATATTGTAATTCATCCCAAAATCAATAAGAATTTTCTATGGATACATTGTAAAATGCATGATACAATTTATACAAATTTTATGCAATTTATATAATATATATAAAATTTTGATACATCTTAGAGCAATATATACACTTTTATACATTGCAGAAATTGACTGTACACTTTGGATATATAAAGCTCGGGATACATTAATGATACATTAGGAATACATTGTAAAATGCACAACACACTTTATATATAAATTTTGTAAAATGTAGTCATGTATATATTATTTTTATACACTATATAACATTTTATATATAATATTTATATATATTATTATACAAAATCCAATATATATAGATATAACAATGTATATATAACTTTTATAAACTGTATATATAAAAAATTTATATGAAATTACACTTGTATCTTATAATCACAATTAAAAGAGGGTATATAATAACAAGACACTCAGGTTTTGAGTACAAGACTAATGAATGTCCTCGACTGTGTACATGTTAGCTCATTTTATCCTACAAATAGATAATTATTGCACTTATGATTGACTAGATAGGCATGGCCCGTGCTGCGCACGGACTCAACATTTTATATTTTCCATCAATGGTCAACTATATATTTTCCATCAATGGTCAACATTTTATATTGTCCATCAATGGTCTCCATAGTCGTTTGGAGATGAACGATAGCAATAATGAATGATGAAAAGGAACCAAAAAGAGGCACGTGAAAAAACATAAAGCTAAGAGCATAAGCTTATATGCTGATATGATTGATGCTAACAGAACGCATAAAGCAACAGTTACTCAACAAAAGATCATTGCATGTCAAATCAGATTCAAGATGCCAATGTCAACCAAGTACTAATTACAACCCTCAGCTGAGGAGAGAACATTCAAAATTACATACTTGCTGTAGATACAGCAACATGCTATACACATTTGAGGATATACTGATGCAAAAGTACGCCCAATAAATACTACGATTTACACTGGAGAACACCGTTGAACGCCTTTGCAGGTAGTATAGGCATTCCACATATCAAAAATAAAATAACACCAGAAATCAAATGACTAATCTGCTCATCTTTTTCATAGATCTTAGACGCAGCCAATCCGAGAATTCAACTTTCGACTGTCTGTTATATATGTGTAAATCATCTCACTTCTGCCTCATGGAAGGGTACCTTCAGCAGGAAAGGTACAATGAGATAGAAGTAGCACGGTTTCCTTTTTAAATGTGCAGAACCAACAATACCTTGAAATTAACATATCGCTTTTGTGCAAGTTTTCTTGGTTATGAAGTCTTACACAACAGAGAGATTTATCAACAGGAAGAATAGGAGCAGGATTTTGAGTTTGCTGACCAATTTTATCCACCATAAGTTGTTTTTAGCTTCAAGAATTCTTTATTTGTAGTCATTGTGCATCACCATCTTCGCTACCCCAGATCTGCATAACCAGAATAACATTGTAAATTTAATAATACATATAATTATATACATGCATACGCACTCCACTGGTAAATGAATCTAAATTACTTTGCAGCAGAATAGGAGATTCCTACAGAACTGGGGAACTTCTTACATAGCGAAAACAATTTTGGTCAAAATGCCTCCCCTCAAATTCCATTTCTTAACCATCACAAGTCACAATTATCATACAAATAAATCTTATACCTTTATTAGTTACTATAGACAATGGGAATCAATAAATTTTGGATAATATAGCATCAAAACTTGGCAATTTCATTTTGAAAATCATCTTGTCCCAAAGCCGCAGGCATCTGGAGTTTTCTTTCTTTCTTGCGTAATTAATGTTTTTCTTCTAGCTCACATAACTACAACATCAGGCTCATCTGATCTTCTATTAAACAGATCCAAATAACGCAAGGTAAGTATAATAAACTAAAAATTCAGCTTTCAGTTCAAACAACCATCTATAAGAGCAACTGAGATCTAAAAATATTAGCATAGCATATGGAGGAACTCAAAGGGAAAAGCTTGCCCCAATTTTGGCACAGTCACAGAGCTTTAGCTCAATGGCAAATTATTTGTTCTTATTCAATCCAAAGAAGGCAAAATAATGTAAAAATGGACCTTCCAAATAGATCTCAAAAAGATTAACATGGGACTAATTAAGGCAAGCTCAGCAACTCAAACAGAATCCCGGGAGAAAATAAAAGATTAGTGAGGTAAGGTCTATAGACTGTATGGCAGAAAGCTTGAAAGGAAGAGCACTCCTACTTACTTTTGGGGGAAATCCTAGACACCGGATCCTCGGTAGGCCTCTTATTTGATAGGCATTAGGGGATTTGAGGTTTTGGGGTTTCACTCGCAGCAACTAAAACAGACTATAGGACTTGTTGAGACACGTTCAATACCGGTTTGCCGCTTTTCTTTTTGCTATTTGGGAGGCCTTTTTAGCAGTAAAATAGAGGATATCATATCGCATTTGTGAGTACATTTAAATTACATCTGTAAAATTGAAGCAGCACAATTGTACTTCAGTTTAAGATCTTAGTCTTTACTGACTTATGCAAACAAAACGATTGTAATTGTTCATTCATCACTATCTCAATTTCAAATTAATTAGAGTCAGCTATATGTATTATCTTTATTCATTGTATCCTATTTAAAATAGATGCATAAGCGTTTGCAGTGAATAGTGATAGTGGATTCATTCAAACCCTCTCTCTATCGACTCTAATATAATATTGAAATTCAATTGGAGAATCGGATTAAAGCACATGATCCACTGCTTCTGGTTTACTATTGTTCCTAAATTCTCTAACAACAAAATGAGAAGAAAATAAACATAACTACTTACTAATTTAAGGAAGAAAAAGAATCTATTTTAGCCAAGCAAGTTCAGAAAACAGGTCATGAAAATCTAAACATATTTAAGCTCTATATACTTCATTTACCCTAGGTTTAGTATCCTTTGCCAGCCTATATCCACTTTCAGGATCAACATTTTTTGAGTAATCACCATGTACCTCTATCAACAAGCTGTCGACACTCTCAACAATGGATCAAAAATTTATTACTCTGTAATTAAATAGGATAGCAATACGAACACACTAAGGACATAGTGTTTCCATAATAGCCATATAATACTTATCTCATAAGATCCAATTTCATCATAATAGCCACCTATTTTTATAAAATCCTATTAGATCGTGTGAAGATTTAGATGACTCGTTGAGATACTTCACCTTCTTTGTTCATCTTTGCCTCTACTTCTATGATGATTCTTCTTCAATTTAGCTTGTGACACCATCCCTGCTAATTACAACAAAGGGCTAAAGAAAAAACATAAACCAACATGTTGTATTAAATTAAGAAAAGAAGGAATATCGACAATTATGTTAAATTTTGGTAATATTTATCTATATTTCAAATATGAATCACTGACCGTTAAAGATACAATTAATCTAAAATCACAGTATAAAGATAGCATAAGAAAAATTCGCATTTTTTTCCTTAATATCTAAGAAGAGAAGAGTTGTACTGCTTTCAGATGGACCCACTAATATAATAAAAATACAAAAAATAATCTAGCTACATAGCTTCACGAAAATTCAGTTGCAATTGTAGTAGTAAATGAAGAGGGAAAAGATTTAAGTTTGATAGCCCAAAGAAAAAGATCAGAAAGATCAAGTGACATGCATATAAAAAAATCCAGTAATTAATTATTCAAAATAATAAAAGATGCTTAACTATAAGTACTCAAGAGCGAGCGATTAAGGGAATTTGGAAGAAGATAGGACAAACATGTAACAGAAGGAGACGAAAGGAGCAATGGCTGTTTAGGAGAAGAAATTTGGACTAAGAAAGATATATTAAATTAAATTGGACTAAGGTAACAAGTATCTTAATCTTCATTCATATACACTGATGATCTTCTCAAATATTAATGAGAAGAAAAATCTCCATACAAAAGTGAAAATCGAGACAAATCTAAGAAAGCTTCCTATAAATTCTGAAGATGCTGGCATTAAAATGCTAAAATAGAAAATAAAATCACCAAAAAAGTAGATGCAAACCTAAAACTGAAAAATAAAACGCTAATAAGCTGCAAGTTTCCATCAAAACCGTGAAATTTCAAGTTCAAACACATGCAAAACTAACATAGATCTATCTAGAGAAACCCCACGAAGAAACTTGGAGAACACAATTCAAATCAAGGAGAAAGATGTAGAGAGCAAAACCTGGAAGAAGTAAAAGGGGCTTACCATAGCTTTTGATGTCTTTCTAGAATAATTCACCCAATGAAGGAGAAAGAGATTACAGCCTAGAGAGTTTGATTCAAAGAACTGAGACCCATGTGTGCTGATTCTACTTTTGAGTTTTGGGTAGAGTGACCCAGAAAGGAATCCAAAGCAAATACACGTGTTAACTGGCCAGGGCCAAAAAAGGCAAAAAAATCAGCAGCCAATAAAATAGCTACATGTATATAGTATAATTCAGATAACTTTGTGTACAATTTGCTATAGCAGTGTTCGTCCATCCTTGTTCATTTATATATAGTAGTATAGTATATAGTAATATTGACTTATGGAATCATCAGTCTCATCTTTAGCAAGAGTCATGCATTATGTTATTCTTCTTTTGAGTAGTTGGGCAACAACTCAATCTCATCTTTAGCAAATATCTAATACGCTTCAAATTATTTTTTAAATTAATTTAATTTTTAATTTCAAAACACTAATTGTTTATTTATATGATGACAAATAATGGAATTGGGACTCTTGGATTAGATACAAATTATTATAAGTTACTTTCTTGAATTTTCAAGTACACTTGAACTAATTCCAAGCCTTTGCCAAATGCCCACTTTATCTTTTTGGAGTAATTAAAAAAAAAAAAGAATACCGTCAAAAATAAAAGGATTGACACCCTTTCCAATTGCACCAGATTTCCATGTTTCCATTTGGAAATATAAATTAACAAAAAAAAAGGAAAAACATAATTATTTCAAGCATACGATAAAATGTTTTATAATTGACAACATACGAAAAGCCTCTTGGTATATATTATCTCTAACATCCTTTTTTTAATACTACACTATCCTATTTATATTAAATTTGCATCATTAGTTTCTGAAAGTAAGGATGTACCATACTAAAGATGCTTTGTCAATATAGAAACGTAAATCAAATGGGCTGTTGGTGGACCAAGAGGAGGAAAATCTGTGCGTTAAAGAACAATGGCTATAGCTTGTCAATAAATTAGGCTTAAAAGCCATTTCGGGTCAATGGAAAATACATGGGCTAATAAAACTTTTAGAGGGCCATAAACTGTCGTTTTCTCAATAAAATTGACATCTAAAAATATTATTTACTTGCATTTGTAAGAAGGGTGAACATCATTTTTCCACTCTAACTTTGTAAAAAGACAATGTCTCTCAAATATTAAACTTTATACCCATGGTCTGCTTGAAGTATCTGGCTATAGTTGCAATACATTATAAATCCTCACCATTTTTTAAACAACAATCCTTAAAGTAGCTAGTTTTTTAAATGTCCCCTAATTTTGGCAAATAGCTGAAAAATGGTAAAAATAGCGCCGGCCAGTTTTCGGACTGGTAATTGAAAAATAGTCAGCGTTTACAAAGTCATTGAAAAGTCGTCACTATTTTACTGCAACACGGAAAGTTCCAGCATAGTATACTGGAGATTGGTGCACCTGTGTACGAACTTCCAGCATATTATGCTGGAACTCCAATACGGGGAAAGTTCCAGCATAATATATTGGAGATTGGAGCACCTGTATATGAACTTCCAACATTTTATGCTGGACCAGTATATTATGCTGGAAGTCCAATATATTATACTGGAACTCCAGTATAATATATTGGAGTTCTAGTATAATATACTGCTACTCTAGTATAATATACTGGAATATTTTTCGGATTTTGAATAATGTTTTCGTTCAGATTTATCTTTATATGAAAAGTAGCTAATTTCGATTACTTTTAAAACTGTGGCTATTTTTCAATGACCACTTGTAAATCTTACTATTTTTGAATTTTTCCCCGAAAAATATAATGACCCAACAAATTGTAAATGGCCCAACAAACGAGAGGGTGTTAATAGGAAAGGAAAGGGGGAGAGGAGGAGCAATATGAAAAGGAATTTTTACATTCCTATTGTGAGCACGTGATTTTTGCCCTATATGAGAATTACTCCCAAAATTTCAAAACAAAACAATTTTCCTTTGTGTGCAATTTTTGTGTTCTTCGTGGCATTTCTGTGTAATTATTTGCATTTTTGTCTATGCATGTTTATTTGTTAGATTAATAAAAAATATAAAAATATGTCGCATTTGCGTTTAATATTTAATTAAGTTTGTTTACAAAATGAAAAAATCATAAAAATAATGTACGCTGCATTTTTAGCACTTAATGTCCAAATTGTGTGATTTTCTCGTTAGTCGCTATTTAATTGTGTGTTAACTGTTATTAAGAGTTAATTAGTATTT